ATAGCTATGAGAGTGAATACAACACGTCTGAAAAGAATGAGAATACATGCAAAACAGTTTAAAATGAACGTCACATATACAATAGCTTATCATGCAATCATAACCGAATGCAATAATGAGGAACGCAACGATCTCAGCGAAGGTCTAGAGCCATGCTGAATACCATCATGATGTTCTTGTATCAGGGGGGGGGGAAGGGGATTAACGGTGGTCTGCCAGATCATCAAAAGGAGATGTGAGAACCACTGACATAAAGTAGGACTGATAAAGGCAAAGAAATTCAGCACTACCCTGTCGCCCTTGTCAATTCCGATCATCAGTCGGAAATAGTCTCTGCTCAACTCCAGGAAGTCCTTATGCGCATCAGCAACCGAATCAACGAGCGCTTCCTCAAACGGAGACGTCCCGGCCAAGCCTGATTTTACTCACATTTCGTTTACATTTTAATGGTTACGCTTCATATTCCCAACTTTTTCTACCGTTTGCGATTAATCAGGTTTACTGAGTCATCTACACACTGATCTACAGCTGGATGCTTTTCTTGCATTAGTGAGTGCCTTCCAGAGTCTCACCTATTAACAGGACGAAAATTGACGATCGGAATTATTGAACGTCGAAAATGTGACCGTCTAGAAAACTAATCAAATCTTCGCATCATTTCTCATTTCTTGAAGCTCCAAAGTAGGATCATAACTATCACTCTAATGAAAAAATCGATGTCAAATTGAAATTTTTGCGTGAAATTAGCTTGTTACAGTGTATTTGACATTCGCTTGATGAAACTGTCTCAGAGAATACATTTACATTTACAGATATGTTTGTGAAGTGGGCTTGAAAATCTCACCGAATTGATGGGCCAAAAAGCGATTGATCGCATAACTTTGTGATATCACTTCTCCATTCACTTCTAGTATTGGCAGCTTCCCGAACGGTGTTTCTGGAAAACTAACACACGAAATTTGATGCTTTTATGAGAATTCGTTTATGAGAACGGTTTTCTCTTGTATTATACNTGCAATCTTGAGTTGACTTCCTCGACGGAAAAAGTTTCGCATTCAATCGCAAAGCACCAACTGCATCAGAGACATGAATTCGATTGGACATTCATTTGTAAAACCGTTTTACGTAAAATTATTGAATACTTGCTTGTTTTAAGCGCTGGCCAATCTTCACGTCGAACGCGAACGTCTTCGAATTCAACTCCTTTATAGCGAAAAATCTGTCGAGCACATTCGGCCAGATAGCGTAAATCGAAATAAATCAATCTGTAGGAAACATTTTGCATTTCGTTTGGATAGAAATGTGAATGTTTGACGGTGCTTGATTGCGCCACACATACTCTCTTGAGGAGATGCTTCGGGAAAGTCTGCTTTACCAGTTGCTCAGCCATGGGCACCAAGAGTCTTTTCGGCTCTTTGCCTTTTTGGCTCCTGTAATCATGGTGTTTTTAGAGTTCGATGTGTCAAAGGATACTACAATTGAATCGAGAATGATCATCAATCGCATCATAATCTTGTCACACACTGAACTATTTTCAGTGCGCACAGTATCATTCGCATCTTAAAAACGTCTCTTGACAAAGTTGATAAGTATTCGAAATTCGAATCAATGCTGTTGGGAAGTATGCAAGTGTACTCGTGAATCGCTTTTATTTTTAATACTCACTATCAGATGTTTTCTGCTGTCTCTTTAATAATTTACACATTTGGTGCTAAACACATTTCTAAGCAATTTTCTAAGCAAGAGCACAATAACATGCAACAGTAGTGATTATTATTAGCTTCCAATACTCGGCACATCTTATTGCTTATATTAAATTTGATCGTCATCAACTATCAACACAAACGACTCAAGCGATATTATGATCTATAGAAGAGAATCAAACTAACTATACGGATATGCAATATGCACAGTTCCGAACAAAATTAATCCCATCGCATAAACTGGAATTTGGGCTTGAGCTGAACAAGAATAAATGAATTTTAACAGCTTGAATGCAAAAGCAACTTACAAGGGCATTGTTTTTCCATTTTGGAGATTGTAAACGTTCGAGAAAGAAGAAGAAAGATTAGAAGAAATTAATTTGAAAGCAAATTTGTCGCAGAATTGATGAACCGCGCAAATGGTTTCTCTAAATCGCAATGTTACGTCAAATCTCGTGGGAAATCACAACGTATAATAATCAATGAAGCAATCTTTTACATGAAATTATTTATCAAATCAGACTCGGCAATCAAATGCTACATCTGCAACTTATCCCTCATACGGGCTCTATGAAACTCAACGCTATTCGCTTCGCTGACTTCCGGATTATTTAGATAATACTTATTTTCCTCAGTGAACCATTTCTGAAACTTGAACCTCCAACGCAAATATTCCACAAACGATTAAGTCTTACGATCAAGCCAATAAGATCAATCGATTTTATCAAAGCGTTCACCATTCAAAAAACGAGACAGAACATCATTCTCACAGTTACATGCATTCTACACATTACTGATAAGAGCTGATAGAAATGTGTTTTTTCTCATCTAAAAAACACATTTCTCTCAGCAAAACCTCAATATGCACGACTGCAGCTAGAAAAATGAAAACACGTCAAACCCTGTCATGAAATCGATTGCATAAAGTTTTCCGACTTCACGTTAACTCTAATGAATATCCATTAAAATAT